TTTCTATAAAGCAGGAATTTTGAAGGACTGTCTTGCATTATCTTGGCAAAGTTTGACAGTCATTTTTCTTTCCGTCTTGCTTGTCCAGTTTGTACAGCAAGCTGTCAGCATTCAAGACAGGAGCAATTTCTTGTTCAAATGACAGTTTTGCCTCATTGAAAGTAAACTCCATATGGAGTTTCTTCAGTGCTCATCATCCTTTTATGAAGTAGATCGGTGATGGCAGGAGCAAGCAATCTCATTGCTGTGAAAAGCCCTGTGTTAACAAAACATTTTAAATGTCATGTTCTGTAGGTCTTCCAAGTGTTTGACGACCATCAATCTAAAATATATCTTTGTATGGTCGAGAAGATATACCTAACATGACTATAAATTTGACTGTTATAGATGATATTTCTTTATTATCCTGAATATTTTTCAAGGACTAAAACTTTACCTTTTTTTTTTTTTTTGGTTTTTTGAGACAGGGTTTCTTTGTAGCTTTGGAGCCTCTCCTGGAACTAGCTTTTGTAAATGAGGCTAGCCTCAAACTCACAGAGATCTACCTGCCTCTGCCTCCCGAGTGCTGGGATTAAAGGCATGCACCACCACTGCCCGGCTTAATACTTTACATTTTTAAATGAGCTGCATAGGCAGAATATCTTAAACAAAAATAGAAACATATATACAATATAACAAAAAAATCTTAAATTTGTATCAATATATAAAAATTTACAGCGTAAAATATCTGAGATTAGTGGTTGTTCAAAAGTAGACTCAACAATCCACCCTTTTATCCCATCATTTTTATACTATATCTCCCCTTTTTCTCTTCATAAAGAGATCCCTGAATCTAATATCTTTTGTTCAGTTTTTTTTCTGACCACGACCAATAACAATTTGTAACCAATCCCCCTAAATGATGACCAACATCTATAACCCATTGAATAACCAAAACCACACATTCTACCTCTTTGGAATGTGGGTATTGTGTTCTCTTCCTGTTGTCTGAGGGTGCTAGGATCTTTAGCAGATCCTGAGAAAATTCAGATAATGGTCAAATCCTGGCTACAATCATCCATGAGGCTAGATCATCTCAACCAGCAGCCTTGAGGCTGTTCTGGAGGTAGAACTCTGAGGAAACTGCAACAGAGGCACTCTGAGAGGCTGGATGTTTTTATTGGTGTCTGGTCCCCTTGTTTTGAAAACGCATAAACTTTAAAAGGCAGCATACATATCTGCAGTAACACAACTATGGAATGTGTAGTGTACACAAGTCAGTTAAAGATGACTCTTGTTTTATGTTTGAGCAGGTAAAATATATGCCACTTGTCTTGTGGTTTTTTAAGTTTATTTCTTTATGTCTGTAGCCAGGGTGTCTCCCTCCATCAAATCTGATCATTTTTATCCTTGAATGAATCCACTTCTCTGATGCAGTATATATTTTGACTTCCACTTTGGAGTTAAGACATTTTTAAGTGTATAGGTTGGCTTAATTTAGCAGTTTCTATAAATACAATATCTCTCAGCAGCTATTGTTTGCTCAATATTGTTTAGCAATCAAAAATTCAAAGACAACACAATAACATACAGGATCTAGACTCCTGTGTATTTACCATCTCTATGTGGCTTGTTCTTTTTATTACTTTACTCTTTCCTTTAAAACTCTATTATTTTTTATGACTGTCTATACCTGTTTTCTTTTCTTTTTCTTAAGCCTATGAACATTGTTAAATAAATTGTAACTTGTTTAGAGGTGTTTTTTTCCATCCGAACCTGTTTTACTTAGTATCTGTAACCTTTTCTGCATGAGAAAAAACCTATAACCTGCCACATGGCTTAGCTCATAGCACACTGCCAACTTGAGCACACAGGCAGCTCCCAGAAGATATGTAGCTGTACTACGGCTGGCATGAGAGACATGAGACTAAGAAGCCATGTTTGGCTCTGTTTTTGTGTGTTTAGAACCTTTTTAAAAGCTTTCTCAGGCCTTATGTGAATATATGTGGCCAGATGTTGGATGTCATTTATAGGCAAATTTTTCTGTCCTACCAGCCAGCTCCCAAATGACCACATGGAGACATATTAATCTTGAAAGCTCATCCGATAGTGTATACTTGCTCCTTACTGGCTCTTGTAACTTAAATTAACCCGTATTTTTATTAATCTACATTCTACAACATGGCTTTTACCTTTATCTCATTTTATGTTTTCAACTCATTCTGTGTCTGTCTGGCTTCTCCACCCTCTTTCTTCCCAGCATTCTCTGTCCCAAAAATTCTGCTTAGCTATTGGCCATTTAGTGTGACATTTCATCACACAGTGTAAAGAAATATTCCACAACACCCAAGGATCTTCCTAGTACTCAGAGACATCCTCCATAAAGGCCTCCGTATATAGGTCCAGTTCTCTGGTGGCTGCCCACATGAGGACCCCTAGGCAGACCCAGTCTAAAGTATATCTGCTTTAACACAATTTCCCAGGGCAAGCCTTTTACCAAAGTGGGTCTGTCATTATGCTCATGAAGTGTCAGTATCCAGTGGGGCATAAGAGACTGATTCCTAAATTAGAATCAGTGCTCAAGAGGCTTCTCTGCTTACCAGAGAACAGCTTTCATCCTGGAAACAGTGAGGATCGATAACAATGCTGTTGACCTCACATGGCTCCTCAGACAGACCTGTACCAAGAGGGTTATCTACATCTGCCCTTAAGGCAAGCCCAGTGCCCATGAATTGCTGAATTCAGGGCAGGTATCTTATCCTAAGAGTCACTAGAAACTGAGCCCCACGTTAGGCCCAGTATTCAGGGGTCAAGCTGCAAACTGCCCACCAGAGTACTGACTGGTACTTGTGGAGCCAACTGCATGCTTTTCAGTTTAAAGTCAATACCCAGGCACCCATGTGCACATTGCCTCAAACTGAAGGCCCAGGATCCAATCATTACAGGCTGGTCTACTTAAAGCCCAGAACCAAGAGGTACCCTCACACTTTGGCCCTACTCCAGGCCCTGTGCCACAAGACCAGAATCTACAGGGCCACTTGCACTATGCAACCTATGCATGTGTAGATCCAGTAACTAGGGAATGACCCACACTGGCCAGTATATGAGTTTAGTACCCAGGAGGCTATCTACATGCTGACCTAAGGACAGGCCCAGTATCTCGGGGACTTCACAGAGGCTGACCTTAATTCAGGCTCAGTACCCAGGGTTGGCCCACTGAGAATATCACCTCTTTCACTGACAAAGAAGACCCATCAGAATTCATGGAGTTGGGGCTGGAGAGATGGCTCAGCAGTTAAGAGCATTGCCTGCTCTTCCAAAGGTCCTGAGTTCAATTCCCAGCAACCACATGGTGGATCACAACCATCTGTAATGAGATCTGGTGCCCTCTTCTGACCTTCAGGCATACACACAGACGTATACATAATAAATAAATAAATATTTTTTTAAAAAAAAAAAAGAATTCATGGACTCACTATCCCTGCTCCACTGGACTCTTCCCATATCCTCCATCCCAACCCACAGGATCCCATTCTTTCACATCGGTGTTCTCATTTCAAACACTTCCTGCAGGGCTGAAACTTCAATCCAGACAACTGGAGAATGAGATTGTGTATTTAATTTTTTTCAGCAATCTTAGCTTTGCAGCTACAGAAGACAGCTCTCCTCTAGGACTCCACGGAAGCTTTCTGGCCCTTTATGTAGCACATGAGCTGGGAACTCAAATCCCTGGATTTGTCCTTTTACTACATCACACTGTCCAGCAATGTGAAGACCAAGCAGCCAGTCTTGCTTGGTCTACTGCCAGCTCCCACTTAGACCACTGACGCTCTGGTTACTACTGGAAATACAAAAGCCCTCTCCTATCCTTCAGGGCTATGCTCTGATATACAGCCCCTCCGTGGATGTTTGAAACTGAAGTTAGCACTAGCAGTGAATCCCATATACATGGGAGATCTTGTGTCCCAGACCCTAGCAGCCAAAACTGAGGATCTCAAAGCCATTCAGGGAAGTGGTGTGGAAAGTCCTTTTGTATATGTGTTGCCTTTATTGGTTAATGAATAAAGCTGTTTCGGCCAGTGGCTTAGCAGAATAGAGCTAGGTAGGAAAACTAAACTGAATGCTGGGACAAAGAAGGTGGAGTTAGGGAGATGCACTGCAGCCACCAGAGGAGAAAGACATGACTGGTCCATTGGAACCTTGCCAGTAGGCCACAAGCCCCATGGTAAAATATAAAATAATAGAAATGGGTTAATTTAAGATGTAAGAGCTAGCTAAAAATATGCTGAAGCTATTGGCCAAACAGTATTGCAAATAATATAGTTTCTGTGTGATTATTTCAGGTCTTAGTGGCCCGGAACGAACAAACAGTATCCAACAACAGGGAAGGGCCACAGGGGCTGCCATTACAGCCACCACTTACTGAACACCACCCACTATGCATAGCACAAAATACCAAACTCCTCAAAACAACAAACCTCAATGCACCCAGAAACCTATCGGGACCTCAGACTATATAGCTTGTCCATGTCCCACAGACCCTGGCTGCTCTGTTTGGAATTCAGTAGAACCCAGCAGGAGTCCCCTGGAGCAGAGCTTCTCCCTGAGCCCCCAGGATTTGATTACATCTGTACATCAGCTAGTCTGAGAGGCCCATGGGCCTCCTCAGGAGCAAGTAAGAACCAGGCATCCTTCCAAGCTACCTTTCTCGCCTAGCTACCTTTCTCTGAGAGGTGAATGTGCCTCCACACACCAGAGCCAGTTAGAGCTTGCTCTACTCCTGCTGAGCCTTTATACTAAGAAGGCTCCCAATACTCCAGCACAGTTTCCCAGGAGGTAACTGAGACACACGGGTTGTTCCTAGTCTAGTGACAGCAGGTGTCACGAAGCAAAGCCTGGGTTTAGATCTAGATAGCTGACTACAGGCACCTACACCAAACCACGGGCTGGGCAGGAAGTAGAGTCATGGCCAGAATCAGACCTTTGTCCACACAGTTTCCTCTCCTTGCAGGGCTTTGAGCCTACAGTGGGCCGTGACCCGTAACTCAGCTCACACAGTGCCGGGTTTCTGTTAGAGGTACAGAGGCCACATGCCAACGCTCCTCCTCGGGAACTCCGGGAAGGACGAACAGCTTTCCTGCAGGTAAAGCCGCTCATACCAAGGACAACAGGGTTTCTTGTTTCTCGAGGAGGGCTACACAGAACAGCAGGATGCAGGGGGCAGGGGAGGCTGTAAATTTAGAGAAGGAGAGTCAAGTGATTCTGCTTCCAAAAATCCCCTGGGTTCTTCACACCAGTATCTCCCGCGTGTGGTGGGCGGTGGAAAACTCCCTCTCCTCCTGGGCAGCAGGGAGAATGCTTTGCTCACGGGTCTCTCCTCCTCCCCCTGCAAATGCTCGCAACTTGGCAACTTCTCTATAGGAAGTGGTTGTTCTTGTGGCCCCAAGTCCTGGAGGTGAAGTGCTTCTGGTTAAAATGATTCAGCGAGAAACCACGCCCCCATCAAGGATATCCCACCCTGCCTCGGTCCTAGGGCTCCACTTGCCAAGCACGTCTACCCCGTTAGCCTTGGCCACCACATGCTGCCGTTCACCCGGTCAACCATGTGGCTGGCCATTCTGCTTGCCCTCGGCTGCCTGACTTCCGACTCCCACGGGGCACACTCCCCAGGTAAGAGAGAGGTCCTCTGGTCTTGGCCATCTTGTAGTCGTGGAGGCATGGGGGCCCTGGCCTGCTAGTCTTGCAACTTTTCCAGGACATTCTTGGGAGTCCTGGGAAAGACCCTACGCAAGGGGCTGTGAATCCTGCAGTAGCTACTTCTAAGCTGAGTAGATATGAGAGATTAAACATAGCAGCAGCCGCAGGAATTAGGAGAACAATATCTGTTCTGTTCTGGGCTAGGGCCCACCAGAGAGACAGAGGCAGAGGTAAGGGGTCTTGGTCAAACAGCCTGTATCTGAAAGCTTTTCTCTCCTGACTGTGACTTTACTACAGGGACCCCAGTAAGACACTCATCCTTCCCGCAGTCAGCATGATGGTGGCCAGTGAGGGATGGAGGCCGCCTGTGTTGTGAAGCTGAGGCACAGGCAAGTTAGCTGACTTGCTAACCCGGTCATGAATGTCTGTTTGCCCACAGAGAGCTGGATAGTATCTACCCCTGCAAGCAGGTTCAGCATATAGATTAAGTTTGGGGGCCCTGCCTCTAATGGACAAGAAAGCTGATAGCTGACCATCTCCCACCAAAGGAGGACAGCACACACATAGGCATAAGACTTCTGTTATTCTTCCTGTCTGAAGTGGGCTAGGTCTAGTCATAGGGGATCAGGCAGAGGGTTCTGGGAACACACAGTGAAAGGGAATAACTAAGAGACACCAGGAATGTGGGCTCCCCCTTCATAGCAAATCAGGTGTCAAGAAGTCAGTGGAGTGTCTGTAGAGCGCACAGCCTCAGAATTCAAGACCTGATGTGTTTGCTATGAATCAGGCACCGTGGAAATAGTACAAGAATGGAGGGGGGTGTGCAGCTTCTGCTCTGAGATAGGGACAAGCCATGGCAGCGCAAGGGGTGGTTGGCAAACAGGTAGTTAACAGCACTGGCGGGAGAGACAGATGAAGCATAGGTCAGGCCACAGACCCTGCCTCCCTGTGCCCTGCTCCCTGCAGCCTTCATGCTTGCTAGGAAGCCCTTCCTGCCACCCCGTTCCTTTGTCCCAGTTGTCCAGGGAGAGACATAGGCAGAATCTGGGCGTTCACTCTACAAAGCCCTCTTAGCCTCTGAGAGAGGTCTGGGGAGGGCACTGGCGCCAGCTGTCTCACCTGTCCCCAGGGTTTCATTATTCATATTCAGTGTTCGGAAAGTGCTGTGCTTTGCCTCCTCTGGGATCTCACGGAACAGAGCAGCCACATCTGCAGTGTGATCGGTAATACCGGAGGGCAGCCTCTGGGGGAGAGATCCCCATCTCTACCAGTTACTTTCCCACTAGTGTGTGAGGCAGAAAGGAGTCCTCCCCACTCCTCCTGCCCACAGCAGCTTCTGTGGGTCATCCACTTCTGTCCTCTCAGCTCCAGACCCAAATGAACACCACCCTCACACTGGAAGCTGAGAACACCACCACAGGCCCCCTACCTACCAGCTGGGGATTCTTGAATGCCCAGCCTACCCTTTGAAGTGACCAGTAAACTGGTCCTGACCCGAGGCTTAGAGAAAGTGGCTCAGTGATGACATTCAAAGGTGCTTGGAGGCCTGGGGTACTCCCAGCCATACCCACCCTTGCTTGCAAGTCTGTGGTCAGGCCTTGGCTCTGCTGTGCTAATGAACATCACCTTCACCCACGGGTACCACCCTTCCTGACGCTTCCAGTAAGGGCCTCAGCCACAACATGAGGTACGCTCAGGCCCCTCTTAGGACTCAAACAGCTGGGAACCTTGGCTGACAGTCATCACACATACATGCGTGCGCGCTCACACACACACACACACACACACACACACACACACACCACCTTCCCTACTTCCTGTAGAAGTAGATTCTAGAGCCTTCTGTGAGTCCAAAGCAAGGGCAACAGGGAGGCTGATTATGTCTGATCTGAGCACATGGCTTCATTCTGAGCCCAGGTGTTAAACTGCCCATACCCACATGCAGGGCCCAGGGAGGTATCTATCCCCAGTCTTCAGAATTCAGGAAATTGCCACACTCACTGGCTGTTGGTGAGAATGGAGAGCCTTCTTTCTCAATGTGTCACCTCTTCCAAGAAGGTTCCCTGCTGCTGCTCACCCTCTCCCTCATCCCATGCCCCTCTCCAGCGGGAGGTTTATTTGCTTAGGCAAGAAACTCAGAGCCATGTAGCCACCTGCTCCGCATAGCAAGGGCTATGGGCATAACGAGGTCTGGGTTTGACAGATTCCCCCAGAAGGTTCTAGAAGCTGGTGCAGGCTGGGTCTGGGCCTGAGCAGACTACTGGCCCAGCCTGTTTGCTAGGATTTTCAGTGACTACCTTTGTCCTCAGAGATCCTTGCTGTGGCCATATTGTACCTGACATGGTACTGAATAACACTGGCACTATTGCTTCGTACCAACTGCCTCATTTATTCTTACCCTGAGAGGCCAGTGTCATCATCAGCCTTATTGCAGATGGAACGTGGAGGCTCAAAAAGGTTGCTCACACAAGTCAGCACAGCCAATAAGAACAGCCGAGATTCTAACACTGGTTGTGCCCCAGTTGGTAAAGACAAAATTAACCCTATGAAGTACCAGCGTCCAGGCATGAGGAAGCAATACTGCCTCAAAGAAACCCACCCCACCCTCACAACTCAGGGCTTCGAAGCATAAGTATGACCCACAGAACTCATGGCAAAGACATAGACTTGAGGGGGGTTGCTGGGACAGATGGGGGACCCTAAGAGGTACATTACATGGGTGACTCACTTGCAGCTGGGCAGAGCCCTCCCAGTCCTCAGACTTTCTTTGGCCTCTATATGAACATCATAAACAGCCAGAGAGCATGCCGGAACAGTCCAGAGGACACAGTGCAGGATCCAGCTATGGGCAATCTACAGATCTGATCCAGTCGCAAAGCCCTATTGGACGAGCACACTAACACCATGCTACTTTCTTAAGGATAAAGGGCTTTAATGGCCTGTGCCTAGAAAGCCTGGCAGCAGCAACAAGCTGTAATTGCATCTTGTGTCTCTAGCTGGGGAGCCTTTTCCTGGAAACCCTGCCTGCTCACAAAATGGGACACCCCAAAGTCCTGTGTCCCATAGGCCACAACTCTTCTGCTCTCCCACCCTCCCCTCCACCTGTAGTGAGCTGCACAGAGCAGGCTGCAGATGACCATTGCTGTACTGTCCTGGCTCCCCCCATTCAGCTCCTAATAAGCAACGGGAACAGCCATCTCTAGTGCTTCACTCGAGGTTCTCTGACAGATCGCTGACATCTGAAGGACCTCCCTGCTGACATGAGCTACCTCCACCTCTCACATTCGGTGTGACTGGGGAAGGACCAACAGGCCTGACCCTCACCCCCCGCCCTACCCTGGGCATCAAGATTCTAGGGGCCACATGGACAGCCTGCTTTAAAGACCATGTTTAATATAAAGCCCAGCTCCTTCCCTGGCCTCAGATCCTGAAATCTTCCCCCCAAAGCTCTACAGAAGGCTTCCAATGAGACCCAGACCCTCCTGTTTTCTGATCCTGGGCTGTCATCTACCTATAGTACTAATTCCTAACCTCCCCGGCCAAGGTAAAAGGCATTTCTCCCTCCACTTCCACTAGGCCTCAACAACCACCTACACAATCACTGGGATGAAGGAGCATCTTGTCCTCAAAGGGAACTTGGGATCTACAGTTGCTATAACAACAGCCACAACAGCCAGCACCTTCATCTTGGTGTGTCCAGCTGCAGTCACCCACATACTAATATCTCAGCAAAGTCTTAAAAAGATAAGTTTACCAATGAAAGCCCTCTATCCCATCCCCCGCTAGCCTTGGGCTTTTTGCTTGTATCGCATTTAATTGTATTCACGTATTTATTTTCGTGTGGGCACATGTGGACGACCACTGAGGTCGGAGAACAACCCGAGCGTCGGTTCTCTCCTTCCAGGATCAAACGTAGCTCAGCAGGCTCCGCAGCAAGTGCCTTGACCCACTGAGCCATCTCAGCAGCCCTTTTTGATTTTCATGGGCAACTCACCCCTGACCACCAAAGAAAAAGTTGAAAATAAAAGAGAAACCCAAATTCAAGACATTAAGAACCACAAGCCACTTTTTGTTGTAGGGAGCCAACTGGTTCACTGATTCTTTTTCTGATGATAAACTCTAGACTCTGAAGCTAAGTGGGTGAATGCAAACACCTGGCCAAGCCCTGCCCCCCTCCCCCGTGACTTGGGTCACCCTGGCAGCTGGGATTCTGGGAACTGATCCTATGAATGAGCTAGGAAAGGGACTGAGTCAGGGTCTCCAGTGAGGTGGGTCTCCAGGATCTGTTAGCTCCATGCCTCTGGGAGCAGAAAATCCCAAGAGGGAAGTTGGGATTCCAGTTCTACCTGGCCATAAGAGAGACGTCCCTTATGCCATTTTCCAATTTTTTTACACACAAATATGGACCCCTTGGTGCCAGAAAACAGGTCTAGGTAGAAATCAACTGACCACTCCTCACACCCACAGCAAACCAGATTCTAGACCCAAAACTCAAGGGATAAGGTTTCCTCAACAGAAGGGAGATCTGTATACCAGTTCCCTGGGAGCCAGTGCACAAGAGGTGATGGGGTCACAGGTGTGTCTAAGCAGACATGGACGCAGGCCACTCTGAGAAGGTGGAAGAGTACAAAGGGGCACTAGGGGAAGTACAGCTGCCCTCAAAACCCAGTCTGGGCAAATCAACACATTTCCTGTCTGGAGTTCTACTGCCTGGGGCCCCACGTCAAAAATAAACCTGGGTTCTGGAAAAAGCCATGTTAGCAGGGACCAGAGGACAGGAACTACGCTTTTGTACAGTCCATGGCCTCTGTCCTCAGCATCAGGTAAAGAACATAATGAGGATACACAATATTCTGGTGGCCGAGTAAACAGGAGGCAGACACACAGGTGACGGTGGAGGAGGAGCGAGGGCTGCAACGCTGAGAGGAGTGGGTACCACCAGAGATGAGACATGACCCATGGATCCAGTGTTTCGTGGCATCAATGTTTTTTTCTGGTTCATTTGTTTCTTTCAGATTTTTGTTGCAAAGATTTGAACATCAGTGTGAAGCCAGGATTTCCCAAAACAATAAAAACCAATGACTCAGAAGTGCTTAAGGCTGCCAGGCACAGTGTGGAAAAGTTCAACAACTCCACAAATGACATCTTCTTGTTCAAGGAGTCCCGGGTCAGCAAGGCCCTGGTACAGGTGCGGAGGACCAAGAGCTGCCACCTCAGGACGGATCTGGCAAACTGGGTCACATTATCTACAGCATCAGGGCAGAGTTGTGCTGCAGCTGAGACCAGTGTCACTCAGAGCTGACCACGACAGTTGGGGACCTTTTCTTTGTAAAACCACCAAGCCTCTGGCCAGAGTCCATCAATAGCAACAAGAAATGGCAGCAGAGTAATAAGGGTCCTAGAAGGGTACGCAGAGGCCGACAGCCCAGTAGGAAGGGCACAGCAGGACTAATAGGAGCTGCTCTACCAGGGTCCAGGGTCTGGGCCATCTCCTGTCTTTATCCCTCATTCATAGTCTGCAAGGCCATTGCACTATTTTCTCACTGGATCCATTCATTTTCCTCCTAGAGCTGGGCCAACTCCCTTCTCAGACCCACAAACTCACTCTTCCTCCAGCCTGCTCAAGACTCACCATTCAAAGTCAGCCTTCTTAGTAACTGATTATATCCACTCTGAACTTTCCTTCCCTGGGTACCCCAGAGGGGACAGCCTGCCTTGCTAATCCTTGTGCCCCAAAACCAAGTGTTAACATCAGGAGAGAGATGCCTGGCAACCTCTCATTGGCTGTACATAAAGGCCCCGTGCAGAACCTGCTGACATGTCAAGCTGGGGCCTGCAGGGAAAAGGCTACAGAAAGACCCTGCTCTGAGGAAGATGATAGCTTTACAGCATTCGTGTTTGATCTGGGTTATGGCATCAGGGTGGCTTCTATACTCTTCTTTTGGCAACTATAAACTTTTTAAGAGTGTAGTGTTCTATTAGAAAGGGATTATCAGCACTCAAGGACCAGCCTCAGACAATGAGATCTCTGGGCCCAAGAGCCCAAGGTCCCCCACAAGGGACATGAGCATTCTCCTTTGTATTCTCGTGATGCTGGGGCTATTTCACAAACTACTTGCTTAAGACTGGGACCAAAAGTTCAGGAACTTTCCTCCAACCATACAGAAACCAGAAACAACAAAAGCGCTAAGTCATGGCTGTGTCCAAGAGGAGAAGGTCAAAATAATTAGTTCCCACAAGAGTGGAGAGGTCAGCAGGCTTGACACCCATTTAAACACCACGGCAGGTTACTGGGGGCTGTTACATAGGCTGAGATAACAGAAAAGAGGGAGAGGGCAGGTCTTTCCCTGTGGCTGTGGCAACCCCACCCTCATGTTTCTCCAGAATGCAGAGTTCCAGGCAGAAAGCAGCTACCTAAGAGGGGGCTCTAAGGCACTGCCAGCAGGCAAGGAACGGGGGTGGCTGAAGTCTGGATCTCTGGCAAGTCCTGAGGTGCCTCCCCCGTGCCCAGCTCTACAGCACTCTCCTTACCTCACTCCTCAGCAGCTGGAGAGGCAGTGACCCCCACCCCCACCCCTTGCATCCTAAGCCAACTAATCTAGTTCTTGGGTCTTTGGTTTCTTCAGGTGGTGAAAGGCCTGAAATACATGCTGAACATGGAAATTGGTAGAACTACATGCAGGAAGACGGCGCACCCCCATCTGGACAACTGTGACTTCCAAACCAATCCTGCCTTAAAGCGGGTAAGACAGAAGAGTCTGTGTACTGAGTCCTGGTCCTCATCACCCAACTCACCTTTCAGGACTGTGGTCCCTTCACTAGCAGCGTACCTCCACACCTCATTCCCAAAGAGATGCTCCCTCCCAGCCATGAAGACATGATAGCAGGGGCAGGCACTCTCTCAAGGGGCACAGGGCTGACAGGCAGTATCCTCCTGCCCCTCACATGACCTAATCCACCTGGCTTTCACTTCCTGAGGCCTCTGCAAAGAAATACTCTGAGTAGGGATGGGGAGATTACAGCAGGTAAAGTTTTCAAATAATTCAGAAATCATACATAATACCTACATACATAGAACATTAGATGTATACATACATATTCATCATATATACATACAATTCATGTGCTATATTACTACATATGATCTCTACAGAGAAAAAGCAAGCGTTGCGTGGGAAACTTCAACACAGATATATATATCATAACTATAGGTGAGACACATACGCTCTTGAAGATTTTTAAGATAAAAACTGAAGGTGGGGATGGGGGAAGCTGCCTGAGCACAGAGTATGTGTGCACACACAGTCACACAGTTCCCAGTTGTCTGGCACGCACAAGGGGTACCAAAGGAGCTGCCTGGGTGGGCGGAGTCTCTGGCAGCTGGGGTCCTCAGATAAGCCCTTTGCTTGCTTGTTTCAGGTTCTACACTGCTACTCAGAAGTCTGGGTCATCCCCTGGCTCCACAGTTTCGAGGTACCTGTTCTCCGCTGCCACTGACTTCTGCCTCTTCAGCAAGACCAGGGCTGTGATAAACTTACACACACGTGCCCCCTACTCCTCACTTTCCACCCCAGCCTGGCCATCCTAAATCCGCAGGGCCTTCTTCCCAGTGAGCAGATGGAAGAGCCAGCTGGTCATCAGGTGACCAGGATGGGAGAATACAGTGCCCTCCTGGCCAGATTAACTGTATTCATATTTTCTTCTAAAATCAAGTCTTGTGGTGCTGCACACCGAGAGTCAGGATGTGGGCAGAGACAGGCTCCTTCGATGGCATTACTGGAACATGGGCAGAGCACAGGAGGCCGTCAACAAGGCAGAAGTGTGGGGGCTCCCTGATACCTGACTGAACAAATTCTGTATCCATCTCGTGTCTACCATTCACATCAGACCACTGCTGAGGAGAATGGTTTATCATAAATAAAAAGCTGATCATCTCAAAGCAATACTGTGTATGTCGCCGTTTATAGATGCCCAGGAATGTGGGCAGCCTGTGAATTTAGCCCCGGGAGGCTTCACGTAGTGATAAGCAGTAAGCACAAGTGTGCTGAAGACCTAAGCACCTGGCCCAGACCTGGTCACCAACAGGGTAACAGCACCCAGAGAACAGAGAGGAAGCATTTGTGAAGAAACAGAGCCTCCACCCACATTCTCTGCTGCCATGAAGGCTAATAGTTTGGGAGTGTTCAACACATGGGGGGGCAGGCTCAACACAGAGTAGGGTACATGATGGGACCTCTCAAAGCCATGCACTGGAGACAGATGGAGCCTAGATGAGGGGGCTCTGGGTGGGGATAGACAGGCTGTGTGGGGCCCTGGAAGAAGGAAAAGGGAACCAAGAGCTGCTGGAAGGTGCACAGGGACAGAGCAGAGGGTAGACCCAGAATGGGCTGACAGCCGGGTCTCAGAGCCTTCATTCCCAAGGAACCCTGACTGAGTACTAAGGAGCTCCAGGGTAGACAGAGGGGCCACACACTGGACTTCTTCTCTGAACTCTCCTCAAACTGTAAATGTAAAGCAGCAAGGTGTGGGTACCTGAAGCAATGCAGACTTGAGAGCAACTGGGAAAGCAAATCTGCACCCAATGCGCACGGCAAAGTAACCACCGCAGCCCTAAGACAGGACAGCGGTCATCTGTCCTGTGTCCTTCAAATTCCACCTCCAGGCTATTTTATCTCAGGACAGTGACGACAGCAATGCCACAAGGCAGTGACTTCACTTGGCATTTGTGGAGTCACTAAAGCCAGTTCTTGAGAAAGGCCCTTAACCCCACATATGAGAGTCACAGGAGAGTCACAGGGCGCACAGCCAGAGCCCTAGGGACACAGCTGTGTGATGTCCGTGGTAAAGCAATAGGGGAAGGGTCTCATGTCCTGGTTTTCCCAAGTATCAAGGACAGCACACCAAGGTCTGGAGAGTCCTGACAGAGTTCAACTCTGATTTTCCAGAGCTTTCTCCAGCCTTACCATTGCCACACGTTCCTCACCAGATCCACTGTGCCAGCTCCTTGACTGCATGCTTCAAATATCTGCTTCTGCCCAGCTTAGCATCCCTTGCAGGTGGCAGAGAGAGCTGACCTACAATTATGCTCCATAAAACATCACTCTCACCCCTGCCCATGGGAACTCCTTGTACCACTGCTGTTCAGGCCACCATATGTTATATGATATTTTGCTTGTGTTCTGATAAATAAATAAATAAAGGGTGGAGCTAGCCACAGAAGCCAGATGGTGGTGGCACACACCTTTAATCCCAGCACTTGGGAGGTGGAGACAGGAAGTGAAAAGGAGGGGTGCAGACAGGATCTCAGCCCTTTTGGACTCAGAAAGGAGACAGGTAGGAAGCAAGTGGCATCTGCTCCCAGTTCTCTGATCTTTCAGGTTCTTCCCCCCAATATTTGACATTCGACTTTTTATTGATTAAAAATAATTAGATTAATGCCTCAACCACATACACTCTAAGGCATCTTAAAGGACTCTGCTATCCTACCAACGTCCTGGCTCACGCCTAAAAACTACAGCAGCCACTGCCTCAAAAGCCTTGGGAAGGCCACCTGCCTCCTGTCCAGCCTTACAGAACACTATTCAAACTCCAGTTTAGTCATGTCCTGGCTATGACCCTGGGCGGTCACCAACCCTTGAGCCTCAGTTCTCATCCATACATGGCCATCCATCCCTGCGTCACTGATTCAACATGTACAAACTGGGTACGTGGTACACACGGTTTTAGCTACATAGGAGCTGAGGGAGAAGAATGGCTCTAGCCCATGAATCCAAGACCAGCCTGCACAACATAGCAAGACCATGTCTCGAAAAAACTGGTAAGACAGTATATGTGGAAAACTCTTAAAATTACACACAACTACTCTGTAAGGATGGATATGTTGGCCATAAAAATCTCAAAAGGCATTTCATTACAACGTCAGGCAAAAAAACTGACTCTTGACAGAGTTTTGAAACAGTATTGAGGCAAATTATTAATTACCTGATTAATCTTCTGAGAATATTAATAACTCTGAGAAGATGCCCTTTATGTTCACAAGAAAAGCATGCCACACATCTAAACCTAAGACAACCCTCTTTAGCACCTCATCATGTCAAATAACCAGATGAACACAGGAAATGACACTTGGGAGCTGAGAGAAACAGTTGAGTAAAAATCAAAAGTCCTTTGCTAAAAGTACAAGAAAAAAAAAATTATACCTTCACCAGGGAAAACTTATTCCTGAAGGTAAAATTCTCTTCTCAAACCAACTGAGTCAACTTACAGGCCCAGGACATGCAGAGTTTTTACAGACTCGGCTATTCATGCACACCTGATGGAGAGGACACACCACTGCTATTCAAAGTATTCATATACTGTTCAACTTTCTTCCCTATAATGTTCTGTGAACAGTACTGACAGTTTAGCTGGTGAGACACAGGTTGCAGTCACGGTCTGAAGTCCATCTTACCACAATCTACTGTTGCTTACTTCTAAAAGCCAGTCCCAGAGAGGTGACGTAAGATTAGGAGAGACAACTCATCAAACTCCAGCCACTTCTCCAACTGAACATGAGCAGTGTGGGGAGGGAAGGGATCAGCCAACGGTTTTCATTTACCGCACCTACCGATTCTTTTTCAATTTTTCTATCATTAACTATTCAAACTACCTTCCTATCAAATGATTTCCAACACTGCAGAGAGCCAGTCTCTTCAGCGTTCTCACACCAGGAGAAAAGAAACAGGTGCCGACGCAGAGGAGACCAAAAGGAGAGACGGGCAACACCAACTTACCTGGGATGAATCAAAATGGGGAGGGGCCACCTGCGGACCCTGGGAGCCCTGAGGGGTCCCCAAGCTTCAAGTCTAAGCAAATCAGATGTCTGTTTGGCCCCAAAACAATCCCCTTACCTAAACAGTTTTCATACTGACACTGTTAAACAATTAAAGCAGAAAAATAGAATAATTAAAGTAGAGAAGAAACTCCCAGGCCACTTCATCAAAAGGAATAACCAGCAGCAAAGTGAGATTTATATTATTTATTCTTATCAAAATTAAGACCAGTGTATAAACATACTTGCCAAGAAATAAGCAACTCTGAGCTTATTACATTAGCACAAACATCACATCAACAGGCCGCTCCTCACATTTGTAGGTCTAAAGGTAAGAATCGAACCATAAAAAGGCCATTTTTCGTAAGCACCCTGTGCAGGGACAGGCTCGCTGGGTCACCCAGTTCCAGTGGAGGAGGCAGTCACAGAAAGAAGCCCAGTGAAATCCTCTCGGCCACTGAAAACGCTCTGGCATGAAAAGAGGCTGAGTCACAGGCTGCAGAGTTTGGGAGGAAACCCCTTTACTGTGGAGGAAGATCCAAGTATTCTCACACATCTCACGTGGCCCTGAGAACAAAGTTTCTGCTTGTGTGACCCCAGCCAGCAACCTCAACACACCTGCACTGGCACTTCCACGCACCCCCAAAAGCGTGACCCACTTTAGAATGAAGACACTGAACGTGGCAGACAGAGCCGATCGCAGCAGAAAGGTCCCTGCATAGCTAATCCCCTACTCTTATCACCAAACCCTGAGCCCTGGGACAAGTGTCTGAAATCTTCCAAGTCCTAGAGAATTTGTGTACTTAGCATAATTTTTGTAGAGGATGGCTTTCCATGAATAGTCTTCTCCACAGCAGATACACTGTTTCCCTCAAAAAGTGACATCAAGTCCAGGTGAGAGGCACTCTTGGAGACCCACACCTTCTCCAGGTTGCAGCAGCTACTCCCACACTTCCAAGGACAAAGCTATGTCCACGGCTCCCTCCAGACCGATGGTGGCTGAGTGTGATGATCCCTGGCATGCACAGTGGGAGCAGCTGCTGGGCTGGCTAAATGGACTGGAGGCTGAGTCTGCAGATGAAGGGGGATCCGAAGGAACCCAAGTACAGGTGTCCGTCATGTTCATGGGCCTCACTCACATAGGTGACCACCAGTCCGTCAGGATCATGTAGGCTTCTCCGGAAGGCACCGCTGTCACTGACTTCTAAGACCAGGCTATACCGTGGCACAAACTTCATCACCGTCTCCTGACTGAAGAGCTGGAAAAGAAATATCAGGAAAAAGAGTGTATCTTCTGACTGCAAGCAACTTACCACACAACTTCTCATCACCTAAGAGTAGCCCAGCATCTGGGGATAGGGAGATCACATAGGGCAGGGGCAAAATCATGTCCCCCACTCCCATGCAGTTCTGACTAAGAGGTCAAAGCTGCAGAGGGACAGTAAAGGCTTAGCTAACCACCGAGAAATGCAAGATCACATTTTAAGAAAGCACACTGAAGTCAAGCTGAGAACCATCTTTGCTCACCAGAATACTAGGTCAAAATCAGTACAGCTTAACCCCAAATCCTCTAGTTGGGTTTAAAATACTCAAAGAGTATAAGAAGCATGAGATGGGAGTTTTTTGTTTTTTGTTTTTTGTTTTTTTTTTCGAGACGTTTCTTTGTAGCTTTGGTGCCTGTCCTGGAACTAGCTCTTGTAGTCCAGGCTGGCCTCGAACTCACAGAGATCTGCCTGCCTCTGACTCCTGAGTGCTGGGATTAAAGGTGTGTGCCACCACCACCCAGCTGAGATGGGAGTTTTAAAAGTCTTTCACAGTCACAAAAAGGCCGGGAGGTTTAAGTAAGCAAGTCCCTCCTATGATATCACCCCTGGGCAAGCCCACTTTTGTCCTCTTCCTTGAAGCCTGGTCCGCAGCCCCTGTGGGCATGCCCCTGCACAGTGGTGAGCTGAGCACCTCTGAGCACAGCTACAACAGATGCAGCCTTGTGGAGCTCAGAAAAAGCTTCAGCAGAGAAATCCCTTGGAGAAACATGATTTCTGGCAATAGAGAAAGGTACTGGAAAGGAGCAACCTGTGTAGAGTTAGGACCAGGCCTGAGTCTCCTCAGGGAAGGCAACAGCTATAGCATGGC